GATATTGTTATATCTGTGGGATAGTATATTGTCTATGATGTTTATTATTGGGTTTGGTATTTTGATGTGTTGTAGGGCTTTGATTAGGAGTGGTATATGTACGGAGTCATACGCCTTGCTCATGTCCTGTGATAGTATCCATAGTTCTTTTTTGTTTGTTTGGGCATCTTCAATTATATGTTGGAGTATGTGTATTGGTATTGCGGTGGAAGTGTTGGCTAGGGCTACATAATTGTTTGGATTTAGTATGTTGTATTTGGATAGTATGGGGTCGAGTCTCCGTACTATGATTTTTGTAAGGATTTTCCGTATGTGTTCAATTAGTGTGATAGGACGTGTTTGGTTTAAGTCTCCTGTGAATGTTGCTTTTTTTGATATGGGGTATATTGTGCTATATTTCCATGCCGTGGGGACGTCATGTAGTTTTAAGCATTTGTTGAGTATGTCTAGGACCATCAATTTTGCTTGAGGGCCGAGGTGCTTTAGCATTTCATTTGATATCTTTGAGGGTCCGGTAGCTTTTGTGTTAGGTGCTTCTTTAATTATATTCTCTAGCTCGGTAAGTATAATTTCTGTTGTTGTTGTGTCGTACCATGTTGAGTCTATTGTTTGGATAGGTTTGTATTCGTTAGCCCATTCCTGCCATAATTCTGTTTGGGTAGGGTTTAGCTTTGTCCAGTTTTTGAAGTGTTCTTGTATTGCTGTTTTGATCTCATCTGGTTCTGTAATTATGTTGTCATGGGTTCGGATGTTGTGTAGTATCACAGGGTCTGTATATTTTTTGAGTATGCTTTTTATCATCTTAGATGTATTGTTTTGAAAGTTTTGGTATCTGCGTTCTATACAGTTTTTTATATGTTGGTTTTTTGCTGTTTGGTTTTTTATATTTCTTGCTATTCTGGTTAGTGTTGTGTTGATTGTTGTTTCTGGGAACATGCTATTGCATATTTGTAGTGTTTGTTGTAGTTTTTTAGGTGCTTGGCAGATAGGTGTAGGTTGTTTGTTTTGGTAGCTTGTGTGCTGTTGTTGTGTCCCTTGTAGTGCTCCGTGTATTTCTTTTGTATTGCTATATATACGTTTGCTATGG